AGGTGGCCCTGCACGGTATAGCTCATAGCTTCACTGAGTTATGCAAGCCCCTTCGCCATGACAAGGCAGTGATAAAAACCCTCTCTCTTTTTTTGTCATTTTTTATCTCTTTCTCAAGTCTTGGCTCATTCTGAACCTTAGTGTTTCTGAGAGTTCTTACAGTTTCTGAAAACGACCTTGTATTCTTCTTTAATTATGTCCCCCTCTTTCCAATTCCTATACTTGTCTCTTTTTCTTTTCAGCTGTTTAGAGAGCTCTCCATTCATTCACATTGGCCTCTTTAGATTTCTTTCATTTTTCCTTCTTACAGAGATTGTTGATGATTGCTCTTTCAGTATCTCATTTAGTAGAATGTTTCATCCTTCTCAGATACTTTTCTCCTTGATGATTTCACACCATTGGATTCAACTTACCTTTTTCTTTCTTTTTCTTATTCTTTTTTTTAAATAATTTTATTAAAAATTTTAATTGCAATAGTAAAAACGAACACAAACTAAAAGAAAGAAAGTAGAAAGAAAGGGTAAAAAGTGCAAAGGAAAAGGAAAAACAGGAAAGAAAGGGCAGGAGGGAGGAAGGAAGGAAGATAATAAAGAAAAAATATATAAAGTGTCTTCCAACCTTCATCACAACTATTAACAATTTTCATCTCCTCTCAATTTATAATCAATGATCTCTTCATCCCATGTCCCATCTCTTATCTATAAACAAATCCATAAAGTATCATCATTTCAGTCCTGGTGTCAGCAAAAGTCCATTAAGGATTGCAGAAATAAAAACATTTATTTTAACCTTGATCAAATAAACCAACATTATATTCCTTTCTTTTACTTCTGACAATCTGAATCTTTAGTCCATTCAAGTAATGTTGTAGAACTTGATTTTGTTTCTTTTTTTACCGTTTCTCACAAGATTCACCCAAGCTTTAACAAACCTCTTTTGTAAATCCAATATAAAAGAATTATCCAGGCTACTCTTTTGGTTTTTAAAGCATCAACTGGTTTCTTTTTTATGTCCAATGAAACATTTTTTTTCCACATCATTCTTCTAGCCTGTCATTTGTAGATCCACTTTGGATGCCATCTCTGTCTTGTCAGATAAAACTTGTTCCTCTTCTGCCATTTCTTCCAAAACATCTTTTGGACATAGTCTATCCATAGAAGCAAACATCGCTATCAACATTGTTGATATAAACTTCTGACTCCATTTTTCAAAAGTATCCTTCAGTATTTCCAATGTTTTAACATTTTGCATCATTCTGTAGCTGTTAATTAGGTTTATGTATTCTTCTCCTTTAATTAAAATCTTTAGTTCCTTTTAGTGCCCAATTTTTTTAATTGTTTATCTCTTTTATGCGTTAGAAAAAATTCAAAACAAGTTGACTTTCCCACAGGAAGGATTCTTTATAATTAATTCCAAAACTATTTCAAATGTATTTGGACCCTTAATCCATTTATAACTTTCTAAAATCAAAGTCACAATTGGCTTTTTGCTGTTTATGTCAATTTTTTAAAGTTCATAAGCTTGTAGTTAAATTTTTCTTTCATTAAGGATTGAAGGCAGACTCACCTGGTGTTTTCCGACTTGTCAATGCAAAGGTTTCTAATAGCTGAAAAGTACTTGGCAATTTCCAAATGTAGGAAGTATGCGAACTTAGTGTCCTTTTAAAGGCGCCAGCTGCAGTTTGAGCAAGATGGCTATTCCCTCATCTCCCAGTGTTCAAAACCCACCGGAGACTGCTGTTTTGTGGTCTCCTTACGAGAAGCAACTGTCTGGAGCACTTGTGGGCAATTTCCCATTCCTTCTTTGTCCAGAGAGATTTGAAGAGCTGGTCTACTCATCGGCTCTTCATTCTTTGCCACAGTCATCGGCTCTGCTTTTCATGGAGCTGTCTTGAGTCCACCATTTCTTCCTCTAGAAGTCCCCCTCATGACTACTTTCCATAAGATCAGCTCACCCCCTATACTCTGGGGACTCAATGAAGAATTGAGTGTTGGCATGTGGAATGGCTAGTGGCAGTCCCTCTACCTCAAGGTGCAAGTAATCAACCACTGGTTATAAATCAATATTTCTGATGCCACTCCCCACACTTTTTTCCATCATATGTTCTCTTTTAAAATCATGCATTGAATGTTAAAATATACAGTATTAACTTAGTAATTAGCAAACTAGTCTGTTCTGATATAACAGTGGGAAGCAGGCAAGTAATGGGTATAGAACAATGGAAGAAAAATTCATTGAAACATTATAATTCAGAGTATGGTGATTTTTATCCCAAATAAAGGTCATTATTGAAATATATCTACAAATATTTTAATGTTATTTATAGATTAGATCTTCCCACATGAGCCTCTGACCATTTTGTATTCTTTTAGAGAAAAGTATCCCCAAAGTCCATCCTAAGTCATGAGTAATCACACCTGGAGCATCCTTATAGTCCCCCGCAGATGGTCATACATTGCTCTCCACAGTAGATTGTTGTTTACAATAACCGGATTGATTGCCACCAATCCTCCCTTCTGGGCTACCAGTTATCCCTGGTATCCAGTTTTGGTTCAAAGCTCCTTTAATGATACAATGATATTTACTCATGCTGTCACTTTTTTCCTTATCACTCAGTCGCTATGCTATGTTATTATGACTAGGTCAAGAAACAAGAACTCCTTGCTTCTCTAAATCATTACTCTAACCTTGTCTAACCTAATATCAGACTTCTCTCAGTCAGAACTAAGACAAACAACTCATGTTACCAGGCAGAAGATGTTGTTATTTTATCCAGGCTTTTTACACTTCAGATGATATATTTGCATCAACCTAATTTAAAAGTTAATAAAAGTTGATGTTAAAGCCATTGATGATTCAGAATTTTGAGCAATTATTCTTTGGTAATTCAGAAATACAAACAGAGAAAATAAAGTTTTAAACATCAATAAATTATTCCATATCAGGGCAACTACTAATGATAATACTAACTCAGTGGTATAAAAGTTTCCTGAGATAGCCAGTTAAGTAAAGGTATTTACACTCAAATATTTATTGGATTACAGCCATAAGTAAATGTAAAGATGGCCTGAAACTAAGCTTTCTGCTGCTGATTAAAATAACACATTCCATATAGAAATGGTTTATTATTACCTTCTTTTGGCAATAATAATTTTGCCAGAATCATTTTTCTAATTAAGTACAGATTCCAGCCATAGTCTTGTTATATAAAAGTGATGTAGAAGGTCACAAACTATGTAAGCTTTTGTTTAAAAATGCAATTTCTGCAATTTGCATGAATTACTTAAACCAAGCCAAGAGAAATTAAGTTGCTTGCCTTGGCCAAAATTATATTAAGGCATATAATTAAGTAAATAATTCAAATAAATTAAAATTATACTAAGACATTTATTGTTCCAAAGAGAGCTCAAAATATCCCTATCCAATTTGTGTTTATCACATTGGGGTTTTACCCATGCCTCACTATTGACTTTGAAATTATATTATTAGAAAACTTGCTTTCTTCTCCCCCTGGAATGTACTAAACACTATGAATAGCTGTATGACTTCTTTATTCAACCTTATTTTAAAATATGAAACCCTTAGGAATGCATTACAGTAAGCAGAGGACCAGCAGAAAGAAGTGAAACAAATAGTTTAAGGATGGGCCTTAAGGACAGGCAGCTTTCCATGTTCAACTCCCACAGTCTTTTGCTACTAACCTTGCTGCCAGGATTTATGAAAACTAAGGTACACATACCTGAAATGCCCCACGTTGTTACTTTTGCTTTACTTAACATTTAATATTCAACATAGGATTATGTTGCTTTTCTCTGTGAGGGGAAAACAAATAGGAATTTCATTTGACTTTTTACAAATTCCAATAAGGAAAGGAATAGCTACTTTGAAATGAGACCAGAAGTTGTTTTGGATCATTAAAGCACTAGTGTGCAACTTTTGTTGGCCAGCAACCAAGCTTAATGGTATCTTCAGGAGTTGAAGACTGCAGAGTGTGGGATAATGACATGAAGTTGCATTAATAAGTAGACAGGTCAACGATTTGGTTTGGAGTAGGGGGGCTTTTTAAAAAAAAATTGTATTAATCTTCTTTTACGTTTGCTGTACAGTTTTCACATGTTTCCTGCCCCTAAATGGCAAGAAGCTGAAATTTGGCTATGCAGCCAGAAAGAAGCCTGGAGCTGTAGAAAGAGGTTAAATTGCTTAAATGTGTACCATGTACATAAATCAATATGCATACATTATTGTTCTTGTATTGAACTGAAAACAAATACATATATATGTCAGTTTTTTTTTTTTTTTAATGCTAGTGTCTGTCGACTAAGTTCCATTTTCTTTTATCCTCTTCAGGTTATGCAGTGGCCTATTGGAAATCAAGGCTTGCTATATGACCGTAACTGGATGGTTACAAATCAGAATGGAGTTTGTATTACTCAGAAGCAGGAACCAAGATTGTGTCTTATACAACCCTTAATTGACCTGGAGCAAAATGTGATGATCATCAGGGCAGAAGGTTGGTACGCAAAAATTATTTCTTCTACTACTGTGAGATGGTAATCAAAAATGTGCATCCTTTAAGATTATCATCTTAGATAGATTATAGGTCAGGAAATAGTGGTTCTGAAAGTGTATTTAACACTTCTTGAAAAAATATTGAGGCATAGCAAATAAAAATCAACTATCATCCTCTCCAGATATTTTTGAGAAATGTTAGATTTGTTGAAATATTAAATTTGACAAGAAGGACTAGGGGCTTCTATCAATTCTTAGTACTAAATTCAAACTACAGCTCCCAGACTTCTGTTCTAAATACTGTACAATATGGCTATGCCGCTATTCCAAAATCTTTGATCATGCTTTCTAAGAATCTTCAACTCTGCAGAATCTTAGGTGTAATTTTGTCTATCTTATAATTTAGAGATACAGAAAGGAATCTTGATTAAATTGGTTTAATTAAAACAACTAGCCCATACTTTTTATATGTTCAGTAGTAATTTATATCAATAGATGAACTTTATTCAGCTTAAACTTGTGGCCTTCCGTTTTTATTAAGTCTGTGTAAAATAATAACATAACAATATTTGTTATTGTGTTCTTTTGAGCAATTGAATGCAAATAAATCCAGTCTTTCAATACTTTAAATGTTTTTATTCCCTTAACTTTGTCTCAGATGTTCAGTTGTCTTATGGGAAAGATACTAAAAATGTACTTGCTATTGCAGTTATTATTATAAAAAGAAGTCTTCCAAATAAACTTACAAGAGTTACTAGGTCTCAGAAAATGTGATGACCACATATGCCTATATATAATCATACTTTTTCATAGTTGTATGTCTCCCTGCCTTAAAAGTCTGAAGACTTCTTAGTTGCCATAGGGCTTTTTTCCAGGCCACTATGACTCCAGTGCATAAAGTGGCTGGAAATAAAGCCATCTTTAAGACATCCCTTTCTGGATTCCAACTCCTTACTCTCTTTTGGCTAAGGCTATGGTGATGGCCTGATGTTCTATCTGAGCCACGGTTACTGGGTCTTCCAATTTCCCTACTTCTCATTCCATCTTAGCAATGTCAGGTTAAAAAGCAACACTTGCTTTCTCTTCCAATATATCTTTGAGGACACTGATACACTTTTTGCATGAGCCTCGCTGTGACATGCATAAGTGTCATAAGAGATTGAAATGCCACTCTAGAAAATTACTTTGTCCTTCTTTAGAGTTCTGATGTCAAGCTTGGGTGCATTGAATCTTTTGCACAAAGTTTGTCCCATTTGTCCTATGTATGGGCATATACCGCATGACAGGAAGAATATGTCAAAGTGCCTCTGATCTTGTATATGTACTTGTTGGGGCCTGTGATGGTGGTGTTAGTGTAGCTGTGATGACATGGGGGCAAAAACTGAGTTTGTTGCTGGGTCTGGTTCTCTTATTGGCATTATTGTCTATTTGTTTCTTGTTGTTTGTGAGAAACTGCTTCAGGTTGGGTGGTTGTCTTGCATGCAAGTATGGGTCTGCCACTGAGTGCCTGAGAAAGTACAGCATCATTGTCTACTATGGGCTGTAGCTTATTAATGATGCATTTGAGCATGTTTTGTTATTTATTTATTTAATTTTTTATACTGCCCAATAACCAAAGCCCTATGGTAGTTTACAATAAAACATAGTAAACATACACAATAAAATCAAATAAAATGCAAAATTGGTAATAGCAAGGCAGTCCTTCAAAATCTAAAACAATATGGATTAAAATACGATTATAAGCCAGTTAAAAAGTCTGGGACAATAAATCTTCACCTTGTTCCAAAATGATGCCAATTCAGATGCCAGTTGAGCCTCTCTGGGGAAGGAATTCCACAAATGGGATACTGTTACAGAAAATGATCTCTCCATTGTAGAGACCCACTTCATCTCCTTTGTTGGAAGAGGGCCTCAACAATCTTAAGGTCTGGGTAGGTACATATGGAGGAAGGTGCTCTTTCAGGTAATCTGGTCCTAAGATATTTAGGATCTTAAAGGTCAAAACTAGCATTTTGAATTGGGTCCAGAAACCAACTGGCAGCCAATGTAGATAGCAAAGTACTGGCATAATATATTGATATCTGTCAGTCCCAATGAGCAGTCTAGACACTCTTTTTTGAATTAACTGAAGTTTCCAGACCATTTTCAAAGGTTGCCCCACATACAGTGCATTGCAATAATCTGATCAGATAATTATCAGAACAATAATAATTGTTGCAAAGCTGTCCAAGTGCAGAGAGTAAAGAGGATGACCTTGATGGAGAGAGGGAAGATCTTACCTAGGCAACCAGCAGATAAACATTGTAGGCACCCGGAGAAGGAGGGGTCTGAAAGCATCTCAAACAGACATTCACATGAAGAAAAAGAGGAGGAGAAGCACATTTAGACTTACTAGATTCTGTTACTGTAGCCAGTCCGGTGTCTGTTTCTTGGTTTGGTCTACCTTGTAAGGTAAGATTACAGTTGGTATATCAGCTGAAGCTGATGAAAGCCACCTTGTGGCTCTGAGTCACTTGGGTTTCTAGTGACAAGGATGGATCTAGGAGCACTCCCAAACTGCAAACCTGCTTCTTTAGTGTGAGTGCAGACCTCTCTGGACAGACAGGGCACCACTCAGCTGGACATATGCACCACCCACAAACAATATTGTGATGGAAAAATAATAAAATAAAGCTAGAAACTCTCCCCCCTTCCCCTTGCCTCTTCTGCAGCAAACTCCTTCCTCCATTTTCCTCTGCTGTTTCTTGCCCCCTCCCCACTTGCACATGTAAAACAGGACCAGCCCCAGACTATGGCATGACCCAAGGATGTCCGTGCTTCTGCTGCTGAAATAGCCCTCTTAACATTATCGCAGTAAAACAATGAGAGGGCCATCACCTGTCTACCTAAGGATTTGTCCAAGGGGCAGCCTCTGTGAGGAAGCCTTTGTTGCCCAGGTGAGAAACAGCAGGAATAGGGGGACGCGGTGGCACAAGGGCTTAATGACGCTGGAGTTTGCTGGTCAGAAATGGTCGGCACTCCAGCGGTTCGGGCCCAGCTCTGCGGGACAGGGTGAGCTCCTGTCCCTTGTCCTAGCTTCTGCCCACCCAGCAGTTCAAAAGCTATTCCATCTGCAAGTAGATAAATGGGGACTCCCATTTAGATGGGAGGAACCGGCGGTGCTGCGTGGGGGAGCAAAAATACCGGTGCTGGCCGAACTCCGAATGCAGCTGGCACGAGCAACGATTGATGCAAGCGGCGAGAAAGATCTACAGAGGAGGAAAAAAGCCCCGATGCCCCCCTAGCGACCCCCGGTGGTCACATAGCATAATAGCACTAATTGTAAGATTTCTCACTGTTAGGTTTATATATATACTTTGTGAGCTGCCCAGAGTTCCCCATTGGGGGGAGATGGGCAGGGAATAAATCGAATGTATAAATTAATTAATTAATTAATTAATTCCATTCTTATTAAGCTTGAGCGCCTGCTTTTTTTAACCTTCCATTCTCCTTGACAATGGATTCCTTGACTTGGTTGCCTTGTTACAAAAGTGCGGTTTTTGTTTCACTATAGAAAAACATTTGCCCCCTGTTTAAAACCTAACCAAAACTTGCCCACCAATCAAATCCCAAGGATTTCCTGCCTCTCAACCCCAAAGTGTATAAGAATCTCTGCCTTTCTATTGTTCGGGGTCCCTCTTTCTTGGAAAGCAGGCACCCAATGATCATTGCAATAAACATGGTTCTTCTCCTTAGCATTGTGCCACTGTCTTTGGCAAAAAATCCACAACAATATATTTGTCTTGTCTGGACTGAGTTTCAGTGTAGTCCATTATCCTGCCCAAGCACTGGTTCAGGACACCAACCATTTCACCTGTATTAGATGAAAAAGAGAGGTAGAGCTGGACATCATCGGCATATTGATGAGCTCACATCACTGGATGACCTCTCCCAGCTGTTTCACGTAGATGTTAAAAAGCACAAACAATATACAGTGGATACAGTATGCCCACAAACAATGTACAGTGCCCCCACAGCCCAATTCTGACAGTCTGTCTAGGAGGATACTAACTGATGGTATTGAAAGCTGCTGAGAGGTCCAGGAGGACCAACAGGGTTGCACTTCCTGTGTCTTTTTCTTGGCACAGCCAAGGCAATTTTTGTCCCATACTGAGGCCTGAAACCAGACTGAAATAAATCTAGAAAATAAATTTCATCTAAGAAAGCCCGGAGTGAATTAGTCACCACCTGCTCAAGCACCTTGCCTAGGAAGGGAATATTGGCCCCTGGCCTACAGTTTTCATCCTCTGGATTCAGATCTGATTTCTTCAGAAGCAGCCTGATCACTGTCTCTTTTAAAGAAGCTGGAACTGGTCTCTCTCTCTCTCTCTCTCTCTCTCTCAATGAGGCATTTATGATCTGCTAGATCCAACCAGAAGCCCCTTCCTACTAGTTTTTATAAGCCAAAAGACAAGGATCAAGCATACAAGTGGTAGACAAAACACATCCAAGTACCTTGTCCCCTTCCTCAACCCTTAAAAACTGAAACTCATCCAGTAAGACAGGACAAGACATTGCTTTGGACTCTTCCACTTCTGTAGTTGCATTACCTACAGGGACTAAGTTATGGCAAATGCAAGCAACTTTATCATGACTTTCTCACAGCATACAACAGTCACTTTCTTTCAACCAGATTGCAACAGGCTGCTTACCACTGGGAAAAGCTCTGTTAGGCAAGGAGATGGAGAAGAAAAGCTTTGTTAGAAAGAAAGCTTATGAAGTTTGCCTCTGAGCTGGGAATAAAACATGCAGACAGTTGCTTGAAGGAGTGAGAAGACTTTATTTCTGAGAGCCTGATACACAAGGTGATCAGCTGTGGGCCCTCTAGGAATTCTTAGAAAAGATAATTAGCCAGGATTCATCAGTGCTTTCTGATGAAATTGATTAGATCTTTAGAAGGAAATTGACTAGATCTTTAGAAGGGAGTTTTCTAAGGTCAGGCACCCTACTGAGCTAGGATTT